AGACTTATAGGACAAAACAGCTTAAAATGTTTAGAAAATAGAAAATGGTCGCCACTGCCAATTTGCTCAGAAATATGCTCTGTACCTACTCTACCTGAATATTTAATATTAAAAGGGAATTGTTCTTCGAAAGTAATAGGAGAAGTCTGTGAAGTTATTTGCGCACAAAACCGACAAACACTAGGAAATTCTACCATACAATGCCAAAGAGGCAACACGTGGAGTTCTCTTCCTAGTTGCACGTGTCCCCCACCACCTCTAGCGGGAGGTGTTATAAATTTAAGCGATTGTAATAAAAAGAAAATAGGTGAAATCTGTAAATTGAGTTGTAGAAAAAATAGTAAAATGACTGGTAACAATACCTTAGTTTGTTTAAAGAATACTACTTGGTCACCACTACCAAAATGTGATATGATAACCTGTTCAAACCCTATACTTCCATCTTATTTAGCATTCAGAAGAAATTGTTTTTCAAAGCTGGTTGGAGAATCTTGTGAGCTACAGTGCGCGCAGAATGGCAGCATTGTTGGGGGAAATATAATAACATGCTTAAGTGAGCATCAATGGAGTGAACTTCCAGATTGCACTTGCCCATCTCCAATTTTCTCTGGAGATATAATAGTTATGGTAGGCAACTGTATTTCTAAGAAGAAAAGTGATGTTTGTAATATTAAATGTACAGGAAACAGTAGATTAATAGGAAATAACACTTTGGTGTGTCTAGAAACTAGAAAATGGTCCTCTCTACCTACTTGTGCTTCAATATGCTCTGTACCTAACCTTCCAGCATACTTGGCACTAGATGAACTTTGCTCCGCAAAAATCATTAACGAATCTTGCAAGGTAAGTTGTGCACAAAAAGGTAAAATTATTGGAAAACCTACTATAACGTGCTTGAATGAGAAAGAGTGGAACAAATGGCCAGATTGTACTTGTCCACCGCCTCTTTTGCCATCAGAGTTAAAAGCTACACAGAATTGTGACTTGAAAAAAGAAGGCGACATTTGTGACATAAGGTGCCAGAAGAATCACAGATTAATAGGACAAAGCATTTTGAAATGTTTAGAAAATAAAACGTGGTCTTTACTACCGAAATGCGCCAAAATATGTTCTACACCAGTTCTTTCCGACCATTTAAAATTGAGGGGAAATTGTTCCTTGAAAATAATAGGTGAATTCTGCGAAGTAAATTGCGTGCAAAATCGACAACTGCTCGGAAACTCTACGATAAAATGTCTAACAGATAATAAGTGGAGTGCTTTACCAAACTGCACATGCCCCCCTCCGCCTCTAACGGGAGGTGTCATAAATTTAAGTGACTGTAACAAAAAGAAAGTCGGTGAAATGTGTAACTTGGGGTGTAGAGAAAACAGTAAACTGATTGGCAATAATACCATAGTTTGTTTAGAAAATACAACCTGGTCAGCACCGCCGAAATGTGATATGATTATTTGTTCAAACCCTATTCTACCTTCTCACTTAGCATTCAAAGGAAATTGTTTTTCAAAACTAGTTGGAGAATCTTGTGAGCTACAATGTGCGCAAAATGGCAGCATCATTGGGGAAAATATTATAACATGCTTGAGTGAGCATCAGTGGAGTATGCTTCCTGACTGTACTTGCCCATTGCCCATTTTATCAAAAGATATGGTTCTGGTCGATAACTGTATTTCTAAGAAGAAAGGTGATCTCTGTAAAATTAAATGCAAAGAAACAAGTAGATTAATTGGAAGAAACACTTTAATATGCCTAGAAAACAGGAAATGGTCATCTCCCCCTTCCTGTGCTGCAGTGTGCTCTGTACCTAAACTTCCGGAATACTTGACACTAAACAATAATTGTTCATCAAAAATCATTAATGAATCTTGCAGAGTAAGTTGTGCCCAAAACGGTACAATTATTGGAAAACCTTTTATAAAGTGCCTGAATGGGGGTGATTGGAGCAAATGGCCGGATTGTACGTGTCCATCACCACATTTGACGGCAGATTTAAAAACAATACAAAACTGTGAGATGAAAAAAGAAGGCGATGTTTGTGAACTTAAATGTAGTGAGAATCAAAGATTAATAGGACAAAGCATTGTGAAATGCCTAAAAAATAAAAAATGGTCTTTACTGCCAAAATGTGCTGATATATGCTCTTTGCCAGATCTACCCGATTATTTAAAATTGGAAGAAGGTTGTTTCTCAAGAATTTTAGGTGAGACTTGTGAAGTAAATTGCTTGCAAGATCGAAAGATCCTGGGAAATTCTACGATAAAATGTCTTGCGAAAAATAAGTGGAGTGCTCTTCCAAACTGCACATGTCCCCCTCCTCCTCTGTCGGGGGGAGTTATAAGTGTAGGGGATTGTAATGAAATGAGAGTAGGGGGAATTTGTAAATTAAGTTGCAGAAAAAACAGTAAAATGACAGGAAACAATTTCTTGGTTTGTTTAGAAAATACTACTTGGTCTGCACTGCCAAAGTGTGACATGGTAACTTGCTCAAACCCTACACTCCCAGGCTATTTAGCTTTTAAAGGAGACTGTTTTTCAAAGCTTATTGGGGAATTTTGTCAGTTACGGTGTGAACAAAACGGCAGTGTTATGGGACCAAATTCAATAACATGCTTGAGTGAACATCAATGGAGTAAGCTTCCTGACTGTACCTGCCCAATGCCAATTTTATCAAAGGATATTGAAATAATAAATAACTGTACTTCTAACACTAAAGGTGGTATTTGTAGAGTTAAATGCAAGGGAAATAGGAGATTAGTCGGGCAGAATACTCTGACATGTCTAGATAATAGGAAATGGTCTTCTTCACCTGCTTGTATTCCAATATGCTCTGTACCAAAACTTCCTGAATATCTGACCCTCAGTGAATTGTGTTCTTCAAAAATTATAAATGAATCATGCAGGGTAAGTTGCGCCCAAAATGGAACAATTATTGGACAAGAATTGATTATATGCTTGAGTAAGTATAAATGGAGCAAACACCCAGACTGCACTTGTCCAATACCTATTTTAACAAAGGAAATACAGACTGCAGACAATTGTACTTCGAAAAGAAAGGGAGACACTTGCAATCTTCTATGCAAGGAAAAGAAAAGATTAATAGGTGAAAATAGTTTAAAATGTCTGGAAAGTAGGAAATGGTCGTCTCCTCCGACGTGTGTTTCAGTATGCCTGTTGCCTGCTCTTCCAGATTACTTGGCATTAAAACAAAATTGCTCAAACAAAATTCCAGGTGACGTTTGTGAGGTACGGTGCTCACAAAATGGTAGTATTATTGGCAAATCTGTTATAAAGTGCTTGGATGAAAATAATTGGGGTGATTGGCCGGATTGTACTTGTCCTTTGCCACTCCTACTAACGGATATGAAAACTGTAGGAAAGTGCGATTTTAAGAAAAAAGGTGATATTTGTAAAGTGGATTGTGAGGCGAATAAAACACTTATAGGTGAAAACACAATGACATGTCTTGAAAACAGAAAATGGACAGTGCCTCCAAAATGTGCTCCCATGTGCCCCATGCCTAAACTACCAGAATACTTGACTTTAAAAGGTACCTGTTCTTTAAAAACATCAGGAGAATCTTGCGAAGTTAACTGCGCTCAAGACGGTAGTATTATTGGGAAGCCTATCATTACTTGCCAGAATGAAAGTGAGTGGAGTAAATGGCCAGATTGTACTTGTCCAATACCGAAATTGACAGAGCATGTAAAAATGTTAGAGGACTGTAAAAATAAGAAAGCAAATGAAAATTGTTCTGTTAGTTGTCAAGAAAATCAAAGATTAATTGGACAAAGTGTTTTGACGTGTCTAGGAAACAGGAAATGGCCAATGTCACCGGACTGCGCTCCTCATTGCTCCTTACCTAAACTGCCCTTTTATTTGAAACTTAAGATCAACTGTTCAGCAAGAATTGTTGGTGAAACGTGTGAGGTAAGTTGTTTGGAGAAGCGTCAAGTTGTTGGAAATTCTACAATAACTTGTTTGACACCGACGAAATGGAGCACACTGCCAAAGTGTACATGCCCTCCACCAACTCTAACAGGGGGTGTTATAAATTTAGCTGATTGTAATACAAAGAATATAGGTGATGTCTGTAAAGTTAGCTGTAGAAAAAATAGCAAAATGATCGGGAACAATTTATTAACTTGTTTCGAGAACACGACATGGTCGACACAACCAAAATGTGACATGATAACATGCTCAAATCCTGTACTTCCAGCTTATTTAGCCTTCAAACAAAATTGCTTCTCGAAGTTAATCGGAGAGTCCTGCGAGTTGCGATGTGAACAAAAGGGCAATATGGTTGGTGAGGCAGTTATTACATGCGTGGGAGAACATTCGTGGAGCAAACTTCCAGATTGCACTTGCCCTTTACCACATTTGTCAGCAGATTTACAGGTAACAACNATACTCTGACATGTCTAGATAATAGGAAATGGTCTTCTTCACCTGCTTGTATTCCAATATGCTCTGTACCAAAACTTCCTGAATATCTGACCCTCAGTGAATTGTGTTCTTCAAAAATTATAAATGAATCATGCAGGGTAAGTTGCGCCCAAAATGGAACAATTATTGGACAAGAATTGATTATATGCTTGAGTAAGTATAAATGGAGCAAACACCCAGACTGCACTTGTCCAATACCTATTTTAACAAAGGAAATACAGACTCCAGACAATTGTACTTCGAAAAGAAAGGGAGACACTTGCAATCTTCTATGCAAGGGAAATAAGAGATTAATAGGTGAAAATAGTTTAAAATGTCTGGAAAGTAGGAAATGGTCGTCTCCCCCGACGTGTGTTTCAGTATGCCTGTTGCCTGCTCTTCCAGATTACTTGGCATTAAAACAAAATTGCTCAAACAAAATTCCAGGTGACGTTTGTGAGGTACGGTGCTCACAAAATGGTAGTATTATTGGCAAACCTGTTATAAAGTGCTTGGATGAAAATAATTGGGGTGATTGGCCGGATTGCACTTGCCCTTTTCCACTCCTACTAACGGATATGAAAACTATAGGAAAGTGCGATTTTAAGAAAAAAGGTGATATTTGTAAAGTAGATTGCGAGGCGAATAAAACACTTATAGGTGATAACACAATGACATGTCTTGAAAACAGAAAATGGACAGTGCCTCCAAAATGTGCTGCCATGTGCCCCATGCCTAAACTACCAGAATACTTGACTTTAAAAAGTACCTGTTCTTTAAAAATATCAGGAGAATCTTGCGAAGTTAATTGCGCCCAAGACGGTAGTATTATTGGGAAGCCTATCATTACTTGCCAGAATAAAAGAGAGTGGAGTAAATGGCCAGATTGTACTTGTCCAATACCAAAATTGACAGAGCATGTAAAAATGTTAGATGACTGTAAAAATAGGAAAGCAAATGAAAATTGTTCTGTTAGTTGTCAAGAAAATCAGAGATTAATTGGACAAAGTGTTTTGACATGCCTAGGAAACAGGAAATGGTCAACGTCACCGGAATGTGCTCCTCTTTGCTCCTTACCTAAACTGCCCTTTTATCTGATACTTAAGATCAATTGTTCAGCGAGAATTATTGGTGAAACGTGTGAGGTAAGTTGTGTGGAGAAGCGTCAAGTTGTAGGAAATTCTACAATAACTTGCTTGACATCGACGAAATGGAGCACACTGCCAAAGTGTACATGCCCTCCACCAACTCTAACAGGGGGTGTTATAAATTTAGCTGATTGTGATACAAAGAAAATAGGTGAAGTTTGTAAAGTTAGTTGTAGAAAAAATAGCAAAATGATCGGGAACAATTTATTAACTTGTTTAGAAAACACGACTTGGTCGACACAACCAAAATGTGACATGATTACATGTTCAAATCCTGTACTTCCCCCTTATTTGGTCTTCAAGCAAAATTGCTTCTCGAAGTTAATCGGAGAGTCTTGTGAGTTGCGATGCGAACAAAAGGGCAATATGGTTGGTGAGGCAGTTATTACATGCGTGGGAGAACATTCGTGGAGCAAACTTCCAGATTGCACTTGCCCTTTACCACATTTGTCAGCAGATTTACACGTAACAACTAACTGTGCTTCTAAGAAGAAAGGGGAGTTTTGCAAACTTAAATGCAGCAGTAACAAAAGATTAATAGGAAATAACTCTTTAACATGCTTGGAAAGCAGAAACTGGTCATCTCCACCAACATGCTCTACAATATGCTCTGTTCCAAAACTTCCTGAATATTTAGCTTTGAAGGATAGTTGTGACGCAAAAATTATTCATGAGTCTTGCGAAGTAAAGTGTGCTCAAAATGGAACATTAATTGGAAGGTCTGCAATAACTTGCGAGAGTGCTGATAAGTGGGGAGATTTGCCAGATTGCACTTGCCCGCATCCAGATTTATATGTGGATGTAAAAAGTCTAGAAAACTGTAATTTGAAGAAGTCTACAGAAAAATGTGCAATTAGTTGTCAAAGAAATCAAAGATTAATAGGACAAGGTTTTTTGACGTGTCTAGAAAATAGAAAATGGTCAGTGTCTCCGAAATGTGCCACTCTTTGTTCTATACCTACACTTCCCTTTTATTTGAAAATGAACAGTAATTGTTCTTTTAAAATTGTTGGTGAAAAATGTGAATTAAGTTGTGTGGAAAAGCGTCAAGTTGTTGGAAATTCTACAATAATTTGTTTGACACCGACGAAATGGAGCACACTGCCAAAGTGTACATGCCCTCCACCAACTCTAACAGGGGGTGTTATAAATTTAGCTGATTGTAATACAAAGAAAATAGGTGAAATTTGTAAAGTCGGCTGTAGAAAAAATAGCAAACTGATCGGGAAAAATTTATTAACTTGTTTAGAAAACACGACATGGTCAACGCAACCAAAATGTGACATGATAACATGCTCAAATCCTGTACTTCCAGCTTATTTAGCCTTCAAACAAAATTGCTTCTCGAAGTTAATCGGAGAGTCTTGCGAGTTGCGATGTGAACAAAAGGGCAATATGGTTGGTGAGGCAGTTATTACATGCGTGGGAGAACATTCGTGGAGCAAACTTCCAGATTGCACTTGCCCTTTACCACATTTGTCAGCAGATTTACAGGTAACAACTAACTGTGCTTCTAAGAAGAAAGGAGAGTTTTGCAAACTTAAATGCAGCAGTAACAAAAGATTAATAGGAAATAACTCTTTAACATGCTTGGAAAGCAGAAACTGGTCATCTCCACCAACATGCGCTACAATATGCTCTGTTCCAAAACTTCCTGAATATTTAGCTTTGAAGGATAGTTGTAACGCAAAAATTATTCATGAATCTTGTGAAGTAAAGTGTGCTCAAAAAGGTAAATTAATTGGAAAGTCTGTAATAACTTGCATGAGTGAAAATGATTGGGATAGTTGGCCAGACTGTACGTGCCCGTTACCATCTTTATCAGTAGATCTAAAAACTATAGAAAATTGTGGTTTAAAAAGAGAAGGACATGAATGTAAAATTACTTGCATCGAGAATAAACGGTTAATAGGAAAAAATACTTTAACTTGTCTAAAAAATAGAATGTGGTCAACGTTACCAAAATGTGCTCCTATATGCTCTGTACCTAAGCTTCCTGAATACTTAGCTTTGAAAGGAAGTTGCTCTTTAAAAATAGTTGGTGAATCTTGCGAGGTGAAATGCGCACAAGGAGGCCATTTTATTGGCAAAACTCTGATATCCTGTTTAAATGAAAATGATTGGGGTGAATGGCCTGATTGCACTTGCCCATTACCAGTTTTACCACCGGATCTTAAATCAATAGGTAATTGCGATTTGAAAAAACAGGGTGATAATTGTAAACTCACCTGCTCAGGAAACCAAAGATTAATTGGCACAGATACATTAACATGTCTTGGTCGTAGAAAATGGTCAACATTACCAAAGTGTGCACCTATTTGTGCCATACCTAAATTGCCCAAATATCTGTTTTTCAAACAGAGTTGTTCTTTAAAAATTGCGGGGGAAACTTGCGAGTTAAGATGTGCCGAAAACAGTAAAATAATTGGAAAAAATGTAATCACCTGTTTGAGTGAAAATAACTGGGGTGAATTGCCAGATTGCACTTGTCCGCCACCTTTTCTATCAACGGACTTAAAAGCTTTGGAAGATTGTGATTTTAAAAAAGAAGTAGATGTCTGCAGAATTGACTGCAAAGGGCATCAAAGATTAATAGGAAAGAATGTTTTGACGTGTTTAGAAAGCAGAAAGTGGTCTACGTTACCCAAATGTGCACCGATTTGTTCTATACCTAAACTTCCTGAGTTCCTATCTTTAAAAGACGAATGCTCTTTGAAAATTATTGGGGAATCTTGCGAGATAAGATGCGCTCAAAATGGAAAACTTGTTGGGAAACCTAAGATTACTTGTTTAAGTGAAAATGATTGGGGCGAATATCCAGATTGTACCTGTCCACTGCCTGCTTTGCCAGCGGATCTAAAAACGTCAGAAAATTGCAATTTAAAAAACGTTGGAAGTATATGCAAAGTACGCTGTAACGTGAATCAAAAATTAATAGGGAAAGATATTTTGACTTGCTTAAAAAGTAGGTTATGGTCAGAGATACCAAAGTGTGCAGTCATATGTTCTGTACCTAAGCTTCCTTTTTACTTAGAATTAAAAAAAGATTGTTCATCTCAAATTGTGGGTGAGTCTTGCGAAATAAGTTGTGTCCAAATGCGTCAAATACTTGGAAATAATATTATCACGTGTATAAGTCCGAGTCAATGGAGTTCTCCGCCAAAGTGCACGTGCCCTCCACCAACTTTAACAGGCGGTGTCATAAACTTAAGCGATTGTAATAAAAAGAAAACAGGTGAAATTTGTAAAGTTGGTTGCAGAAAAAATAGCAAAATGATTGGAAACAATTTACTGACTTGCTTAGAAAATACTACATGGTCGACAGTACCTAAGTGTGATATGATAACATGTTCAAACCCCATACTACCTGAATATTTAGCTTTTAAAGTAAACTGCTTTTCAAAACTTATTGGAGAAAAGTGTGAGGTGCAATGTAAACAAAGTGGCAATATAATTGGATTGGCTGTAATAACATGTTTGAGCGAGCATCAATGGAGCAAATTTCCAGACTGCACATGCCCATTGCCACTTTTATCAAAAGATATAGAAATCATTGATGACTGTGTTTCTAAGAAAAAGGGCGATGTGTGTAAGCTTAAATGTAAAGGAAACAGCAGATTAATTGGACAAAACACTTTGGTGTGTTTAGAAAATAGAAATTGGTCTCCATCCCCTACGTGTGCTTTAGTATGTTCTTCGCCTAAACTTCCTGGATACTTGGTCTTAAAAGAGAGTTGCCATTCAAAAATATCTCATGAATCTTGTGAAGTAAAGTGCGCCCAAAAAGGTAATATTATTGGTAAGCCCATAATAACATGCGTTGATGGAAAAGAGTGGGGAGACTGGCCAGACTGTACCTGTCCCTTACCAAGTTTATCAGCAGACTTACATACAAGGGAAAGCTGTGAGTCTAAGAAAGAGGGAGAACTTTGTAGAATAGCCTGCATTGGGAATCAAAGAATCATCGGAGAAAGAAGCTTGACGTGTCTTAAAAGTAGAATTTGGTCACAATTGCCAAAATGTGAACCAATATGCTCTACACCAAAACCTCCTGAATATTTGACTTTAAAAGGTATTTGTTCTTTAAAGATAAAGGGAGAACTTTGCGAAGTAGGATGCGTACAAAATGGAAAAATTATTGGAATGCCTCAAATTGAATGCTTAAATGAGCGAGACTGGGGCGGATGGCCAGATTGTACATGTCCACTTCCATCTTTGCCAGCAGATCTAAAAACAGTTGGAAATTGTGAATTAAAGAAGCAGGGAGACGCTTGCAATATTGAATGCAAAGGAAATCAAAGACTAATAGGAAGAAATACTTTAACCTGTCTTAAAACTCGGAGATGGTCTATGCCTCCCAAATGTGCACAGATATGTTCTGTGCCCAAATTGCCGGAGTATTTATCTCTCGAAGAGAGCTGCTCAGCGAAAATTATGCACGAATCCTGCAAAGTAAAATGTGTGCAAAATGGAACCATGATTGGAAAGTCTATAATCACGTGTGTTAGTGAAACAAATTGGGATGAATCACCAGAATGCACATGTCCATCACCAGTACTGTCATCGGGCTTAAAAACTACAGAAAACTGTAATTTAAAGACAGAGGGCGATGTTTGTCGAATTAGCTGTAACGAGAATCAGAGGTTGATTGGACAAAGGTCTTTGACTTGCCTCAAAAGCAGAAAATGGTCTCCACTTCCAAAATGCATACCTCTATGTGCTATACCTAAACTTCCGGATTATTTAGTTTTTAAAAGCAGTTGCTCCTCAAAAATTTCTGGTGAATCTTGTGAAGTCACGTGCTCGCAAAATGGTAATATCATTGGTTCACATATAATAACATGCTTAACTGAGAACAAATGGAGTGAATTGCCGGATTGTACTTGCCCATCCCCATTTTTATCAGCTGATCTGAAAACTACAGAAAATTGTGCTAATAAGAAACAGGGTAGTGTTTGTAGAATTGGTTGCAACGGTAATCAACGACTTTTAGGAAAAAACTTTTTGACTTGTCAGAAAGACAGAAAATGGTCAGATCTTCCAAAATGTGCTCCGATATGTAATACTCCTATACTACCTGCATACTTAGCATTGACAGAAAGTTGTTCTTCAAAGATTGTTCGTGAATCTTGCAAAGTAAAGTGCACACAAAACGGAACTATAGTTGGAAGATCAGCTATCACGTGTTTGAGTGTAAATGATTGGAGTGAATGGCCCGATTGTACTTGTCCACATCCAGTTTTATCCTCTGACTTAAGTACTTTAGAAAAATGTGATTCAAAGAGAGAAGGAGATGCCTGTAAAATTGGTTGTAGAGGGAATCGAAGATTAATTGGGCAGAAAAGTTTGATGTGTCTAACTAGTAGAACGTGGTCAATGTTGCCTACATGTGCACCCATTTGCTCTACCCTAAAACTTCCAGAATATTTAGCTTTTAAATCCAATTGCTCTTTAAAAATTGCTGATGAATCATGCGACTTAAGGTGTGCACAAAATGGTACTATTGTTGGAAACCCTCTTATAACATGTGTAAATGAGAGAGATTGGAGCAAGTTTCCAGATTGTACCTGCCCATCTCCAGCATTGTCCAAGGGCTTACACACCAAAGAAAACTGTGATTTGAAGAGAGCTGGGGAAAATTGTAGAATTGGTTGCGAGGAAAATCAACGATTAATCGGACAAGGAACTATAATGTGTCTAACTAGTAGAAAATGGTCACCACTGTCAAAATGTGCTTTAATATGCTCTGTGCCATTACTTCCTGAGCACTTAGCTTTCACAGCTGATTGTTCCTTAAAGATTGCAGGTGAAGTTTGTGAGGTAAAGTGTAGCCAAAAAGGAAACGTTGTTGGCGATCCTCGGATAAAATGCTTGAGTGAGAAAAATTGGAGTTCATTACCAGATTGTACTTGTCCATCACCTCCTCTATCAGGGGGTCTACAGAGTACGGAAAACTGTGATAAGAAAAGAGAGGGAGATGTCTGTAGAATTGACTGTAATAAGAATCAAAGACTAATAGGACAAAAGACTATAATGTGTCTCAAAAGTAGAATATGGTCCGGGCTCCCAAAATGTGCTCTTATGTGCTCTGCACCTAGACTTCCTGAATACCTAGTTTTAAAAGTTAGTTGCTCTTCAAAAATTACTGCCGAATCATGCGATCTGAGGTGTTCGCAGAATGGAAAAATTATAGGTAAACCTTCGATAACTTGCTTAGATGGGAAAAACTGGAGCGAATTTCCAGATTGCACCTGTCCTTCACCACATTTATCATTGAATCTCCAAACTGCTGAAAATTGTGATATGAAGGGAGAAGGAGAATTTTGCAGCATGATTTGTCAAGGTAACCAAAGACTAATAGGGCCAAGATCTATAACGTGTCTAAAAAATAGACTGTGGTCTTCATTACCAAAATGTGCTCCAATATGCTCCCTTTCAATAATTCCTCAATATTTAACTTTCGTAAATATTTGCTCTTCAAAAATTGCTGGTGAATCTTGTGAGGTAAGTTGCTCACAAAAAGGCACTATTATAGGAAAACCTCTTATAACTTGTTTAAATGAGAGAAATTGGAGTGAATTTCCAGACTGCACTTGCCCATCGCCATCTTTATCAGAAGGTCTACGAACAACAGAAAAATGTAACATGAAAAGACAGGGAGATGTCTGTGAAATGGGCTGCAATAGGAATCAAAGACTAATAGGACAACATTCAATAAAATGTCTTGAAAATAGAATGTGGTCAACGCTGCCAAAATGTGCTCTAATATGCCCAACACCAGTTCTTCCTGAATATTTGACTCTAAAATCAGGTTGTTCATTAAAAATAACTGGTGAATCTTGCGAGGCAATGTGCACCCAAAATGGTAAAATAATTGGGAGACCTATGATAGTATGCTTGAATGGTAAATATTGGAGCGACCTTCCAGATTGCACTTGCCCAATACCACTTTTATCAGGTAGCCTAAAAGCAATAGAAAATTGTGACTTCAAAAAACAAGGCGAAGGTTGTGAAGTTAGTTGTGACCAGAATCAACGCTTAATAGGACAGCAAATTTTAACGTGTCTAAAGAGTAGAATGTGGTCTGTTCAGCCAACTTGTGCACAGATATGCTCAAAACCTACACTTCCTGATTATTTAGTTTTCAAAGGAACTTGCAATTCAAAAATTATTCATGAAACTTGCGAAGTGAGATGTTCACAAAATGGAAAGATTATTGGAAATCCTATATTAACATGTTTGAGTGAAAAGAACTGGACCGAATACCCTGATTGTACTTGCTCATCTCCGATTCTTTCAGAAGAACTACTTGCTACAGAAAACTGTGATTCAAAAAGACATGGACATACTTGTAAAATTGAATGTAATGGAAATCGAAGATTAGTGGGACAAAATGCTTTGAAATGTTTAGAAAGCCGATTGTGGTCAACGCCACCTAAATGTGTTCTAATATGCCCTGTTCCTGAACTTCCTGAATACTTAAATTTCAAATTCAGTTGTATTTTAAAGATTCCTGGAGAGTACTGTGAAATCATGTGTACACAAAATGGCAATATTGTTGGGATACCTAAGGTGACATGCATAAACGAGAAAAAATGGACTGAATTTCCAGATTGCACCTGTCCATCACCGCTATTATCAGGGAGTCTTAAAATCACAGAAAACTGTGATGGTAAGAAAAAAGGAGATACATGTAGAATCAATTGTCAGGGGAATCGAAGATTAATAGGTCTAAGAACTATAACTTGTCAAAAAAATAGAAAGTGGTCAACATTGCCTAGGTGTGCCCTTATATGCCCAGTACCAGCACTCCCTGAATACTTAGCTTTAAAATTCAGTTGTTCTTCGAAAATTGTTGGTGAATCGTGCGAGGTAAAGTGCTCCCAAAACGGAAATATTGTTGGAAGACCAATAGTGACATGTGTAAATGAGAGAATTTGGAGCGAACTTCCAGACTGCACTTGCCCGTCACCAGTTTTATCAGCTGGTCTTCAAACTACAGAAAACTGTGACAGAAAGAGAGAAGGAGATGTGTGCAAATTAGGCTGCAACAAAAATCAAAGGCTAATAGGACAACAAACGATGACGTGTCTAAAAAGTAGAATGTGGACTACTGCGCCAGAATGCGCTCAGATATGCTCTGTTCCTATACTACCTGAATATTTGGCTTTCAAAATCAGTTGTTCTTTGAAAATTGTTGGCGAATCTTGTGAAATAAGGTGCACTCAAAATGGTAACGTCATTGGAACATCGTCAGTTACATGTTTAAACGAAAGAAAATGGAGTGATTTTCCGGATTGCACGTGTCCATCACCACATTTATCAGGAAGTCTAAAAACTTCAGAAAACTGTGATGCTAAGAAAGAAGGAGATGTATGCACAATCGGTTGCCTCGGAAATCAAAGATTAATTGGTTTAAGAACTATAACTTGTCTAAAAAATAGAAAGTGGTCAGCATTGCCAAGATGTGCTCTGATATGCTCTGCTCCTGAACTTCCAGAATATTTAGATTTAAAATTAAGTTGTTCTTCAAAAATTGTAGGTGAATCTTGTGAGGTAAGATGCATCCAAAACGGGAATATTGCTGGAAGTCCTATAATTACGTGCTTAAACGAAAGAACTTGGAGTAAATTTCCAGACTGCACTTGCCCGTCACCAGCTTTATCAGCTGGTCTACAAACTACTGAGGACTGTGGCAGAAAGAGAGAAGGAGATATGTGCAAATTGAACTGCAACAAAAATCAAAGGCTAATAGGACAGCAAACGATAACGTGTTTAAAAAGTAGAATGTGGTCTAGTATTCCAAAATGTGCTCAGATATGTTCTTCACCTACACTTCCAACATACTTGGCTGTCAAATACAGTTGTTCATTGAAAATTATTAGTGAATCTTGCGAACTGAAGTGTTCACAAAATGGTAATATTATTGGAAGTCCTATAATTACGTGTTTAAACGAAAAGACTTGGAGTAAATTTCCAGACTGCACTTGCCCGTCACCAGTTTTATCAGCTGGTCTACAAACTTCCGAGAACTGTGAGAGAAAGAGAGAAGGAGATATGTGTAAATTAAGCTGCAACAGAAATCAGAGGCTGATAGGACAGCAAACGATAACGTGTCTAAGAACTAGAATGTGGTCTAATACGCCAAAATGTGCTCAGATATGCTCTGTACCTACACTTCCAACATACTTGGCTATCAAATACAGTTGTTCTTCGAAAATTATTAGTGAATCTTGCGAACTAAAGTGTTCTCAAAATGGTAATATTATTGGAAGTCTTATAATTACGTGTTTAAACGAAAGGACTTGGAGTAAATTTCCAGACTGCACTTGCCCGTCACCAGCTTTAACAGCTGGTCTACAAACTACTGAGAACTGTGACAGAAAGAAGGAAGGAGATATGTGCAAATTAAGCTGCAACAAAAATCAAAGGCTAATAGGACAGCAAACGATAACATGTCTAAGAACTAGAATGTGGTCTAATAAGCCGAAATGTGCTCTGATATGCTCTGCACCTACACTTCCAACATACTTGGCTGTCAAATTCAGTTGTTCTTTGAAAATTATTAGTGAATCTTGCGAACTAAAGTGTTCTCAAAATGGTAATATTATTGGAAGTCCTATAATTACGTGTTTAAACGAAAGAACTTGGAGTAAATTTCCAGACTGCACTTGCCCGCTGCCAGTTTTATCAACTGGTCTACAAACTACTGAAAATTGTGACAATAAGAGGGAGGGAAATATTTGTAAACTGAAATGCAGTGAAAATCAAAGACTGATTGGACAGGAAACTTTAACGTGTCTGAAAGATAGGGTTTGGTCTATATCACCAAAATGTGCGCAGGTGTGTTCCATACCTATACTTCCTCAATATTTGTCTTTCAAAGTGAAATGTTCTTCAAAAATTGTTGGTGAATCTTGCGAAGTAATGTGCTCTCAAAAAGGTAATATTGTTGGAAACCCTGCGATAAAATGTTTAAGTACAGGAAATTGGAGCATGCTGCCGGATTGCACCTGCCCATCATTGTACTTATCAGGAGATTTGCAAACAGCAGATAACTGTAACTTAAAGAAAAAAGGTGAGGTTTGTGTAATTACGTGTAAAAAGAATCAGAAAATAGTGGGACCAAATATTTTGAAATGTGAAGAAAACAGAAAATGGTCTTCTACCCTACCAAAGTGCTCCTCTATGTGCTCGGAACCTAAACTTCCTACTTATTTGAATCTTAGAAGCAAATGTACGTCAAAAGTAGTTGGCGAAACCTGTCGTTTGACTTGTTCTCAAGGTGGTAAACTAATTGCAAAATCACAAATTCAATGTTTACTTGGATCTAATTGGAGTTCCTTTCCTGAATGCACCTGTCCGAATCCCGTACTTCCTCGAAAACTAAATATTATTGGAAAATGCGAAAGCAAAAGAAGGGGACAAACCTGCACCATTGGATGTAAAAGACATTATAAATTAAAAGGTAGTAATCAATTAACGTGTGGAATCAACGCTAAATGGAATTTCCGAGCTCTGTGTGTTACAAGATGTCGAAAACCTAAACTTCCCTTTTATTTGATTTTGACGGAGAACTGTTCATCCAAAGGTGTGGGTGATTCATGCAATGTTAACTGCAGAAATAAAGGTCAAATGATAGGGAATGCCAAAATAATGTGTTTAAAAATGCACAAATGGACTTCATTCCCTGATTGTTTGTGCCCTTCACCAATTTTTACCCATGAATTAGAAGCCAGTGAGAACTGTAATATGAAAAGAAGAGGGGAAGTTTGTAAGATTCGATGCAAGGGATACAAAAAAATACGGGGACATAAAACAATAATGTGTTTTAACAGCACTAGGTGGTCATCACTTCGCAGCACTCAATGTATTTCGCCAAAATGTCGAACTCTCTTTTTACCCCCTTTCATGAAGTTTGAACCAGCGTGTGTTAACCCGGTTGTAGGTAAATCTTGTTCCATAGTTTGCACACAGGGTGGTAGGATTGTAGGAAATAAAGTTATTACATGTTTGAGTAACGCTACCTGGAGTGCATTACCTAGTTGCACCTGTCCACAACCAAGACTGAACCCTGATCTCGCAATAGTTCCCAAACAATGTCGAGACCTGCGTAGAGGTAGTTATTGCCAACTTACTTGTAGGGACAGGAAGAAAAGAATAGAAGGAGATGGTAGAATGAGGTGCCAAAGGAATGCCCGATGGCCAAGGTTTCCGAAGTGTCGCACCGTTTGTCCCGAACCTAAGTGGTTTAAAACATGGTTGAGAAGTGATTCTACCTGCAAAAATATAGCAATCGGAGAACGTTGCGTACTCAGATGTAAATGGGAGAAAGAAGGATCGAAATTTATTCAAGGAATAAACTACATGATATGTTTACAAAATTTAACATGGTCTAAGATGCCTGAATGTTACTGTCCTCCTCCTGTTATGCCTGAAGGTATGATATTAAAGCAAGATTGCTCGAAATTGATAGTAGGAAATCGATGCCCCGTGGGATGCGCAGCTGGATATCACCTGAAAAACCCTAACCTGAACTATTTATATTGCACTAGTTCGACTTCTACTTGGGGACAGTGGCCGGTATGTCTCAAAACATAACCTACCTTCATGCGTAAAATTTATATTTTTTAAACGCTTCAGTTTCGCCTCTTTACGAGCAACAGAAAGTGAATGCCGTATGAAGCAAAGTAAATTTATTGCTTTTATCCAAGCATATTTCCACCACCGTTTTATTAAATATTTTTACTTGAAAGGATTATAATACTCGAAATTGAAACGAACTAATACTTTGTTTGCTATAAAAAAATATTAAACACTGAATTTATATTTTTTGAAAGAAATATTTTATAAGTGTGACAATTTAGTTAAAAATTGAGGGTGGAAAAAATATATCATGAACTAAGATGTCTAACTTCCCTTATCTTCCACCTACTATGTTCATATGGTATTCCCCAAATATTGTACCAAATATAAAGTTGGGCAAAAACTTTTTATTCTATATGCAAAAAGCATTTAAAAGTAATTATTTTTATTAAATTTGTTCCAATCTATTTGGAATTTGTTTGGAGAAATATTTAATGTCTATTCAAAGCTTATATTGAAGAAATTAAACTGATGCGTTCTCTTGTTTTTATTTTGCATTTGACATTTTCTTAAAATGAACCTGCATGTACGCGATATGCACGCGATTCAACGGAACTTTGTGTTCCCTTTATATTTATAAATCTTTCGTTATTGAGATTCATAGTTTAAAAAATTTTCAATGGATTATCGAAAATAAATTTTAAAATATGTGTATACGTGAAATGCCAATACTAAAATGTACAAAAGTGTGCTGTAGGACAAAAGTCAATGAAAAGCAATATATGATTATATTCGGATGACTAAGTTGGTTATTTATGCTTTTTTAAGTGCATGTGTATAATTTTTAATAATAGCATTTAATTCAACTTTTACTGTTAAAAATGTATTTAAATTTAATGTGAAATAAATGCTACTTGCTTTCTTCTGAAATGACTTTTCTCTTTTATGATTTAATTAATAAATAACTGACTAAAACAATAAAAAAACGAATATTTTAGATTAAAAGTATAATTGTAAAACTAGGTTTCAAGAGGCATCTAAAAATTTGATGACTAAGCATGAATGCTCACAAGCGGATGAAGAGAGCGCACTCACACCCCCTGAAAGTCCAATAAACTAGAAATTTTATTTTGCTTTTTAAAAAAAATTATTTCAAGCAGTAACGAAAATGCCTGTTAAATATAATATTACATCTATTGAGATTCATAAACTGAGAATAAAATTGTCAGCAGTGGCAGCTGAAAAAGACTACAAATTGTTGAGAGATTATAGAGTGAAACCAGGGTAACCTCATTCACTCTCCGTTCTGTTGAGTCCGTCCGAATGTTGAACGAATCTGATTCAGTATCTGTGACAAGGACGGACTACAGAACTTGCAAGCAGTGCGCAGTATTCCTCTGTTCACGTATGCTCGAGCTATCAAGTTAGATCAGCTGTTTTTTAGAGGAGCGATTGGAGAGACGTGACATAAAAATATTTTTTAGTAAATTTCGATATTCAATGACCATGTGCTGGGTTTATGGGTCATTCTCGCTGTATGTGAAAAATCACATATTTGAATTTGTTGCTGCGAACGAGAGCCTGATTACCGAATTTTTAGAGAGTAAAGGATCATTCTCACTGTCTGTTATTTTTTCGCATGCGAATGAAAATCAGAGATTGGTGGTAAATATGTACCCACGAAAAAGTCTGCAATTAAATTCCCGTTCACATGCGATTTTTTTTTCTCTCGTTTTCCTCACGTCAACACGGGGAAGGGTGATGGTCAGTCTTGATGGTGGCAGCAGAAATTAAGCTGGTTTTTGATGGAATATAAGTTGGAAACCAACAAAATATATTGGTTCCTGATTAATTTTTGTGTTTAGTCTTGATGGTGGCAGCAGAAATTAAGCTGGTTTTTGATGGAATATAAGTTGGAAACCAACAAAATATATTGGTTCCTGATTAATTTTTGTGTTGGACCATCAAAAAATACAATCAAACCATGCTGGTACTTGGTGGATTTTTTTTGTTGGGCCATTGAGAAATACCATCAAAATATGTTGGCTCCTGATAAATTTTTTCGTTGGATCATCAAACCATGTTAGTTCTTGATGGACCTTCTGTTGGACTATTGAAAAACACCATCAAACTATGTCGGTTTTTTCTATGTTGGCCCAACATAAATTAGTTCCAATTCCCAACATGAGGTGATGGTCAGACTTAATGGTACCATCAGGAATTAAGATGGTTTTTGATGGAATATAAGTTGAGACCAACAACATATGTTGGTTCCTGATTAATTTTTTGTTGGGCTATATATATATATATATATAGCGGAATAAATAAAAACAAAAAACACGAAGAAAATTAATAAAAATGAGTTTTATTTATTGCGCATAAGCTGTAAGTAAATAGAACTCATTAAATAAGTTCAAAAGGTATAGAAAACAAGGGAAAAATTACAGAACAATGAAAAAAGGGGAAAAAAAGAAAAATAATAATAAAAATAACAAAAAACCGGAAAAAAAGACAAAAATTTTAATAAATCCGCAAAATAAAAGATATAATCTTTTTATCAGCTCACACAATAATATTCGCAAAAAAGAGTGCTTTCTAATATTGCATCAATATAGCCAAAGCAAAATATATCAATACAATAATGTGACAATCAATACAATCCTATATTGATGCAATATTAGAAAGCACTCTTTTTTGCGGATATAATCGTGTGAGCTGATAAAAAGATTATATCTTTTATTTTCCGGATTTTTTAAAAAATTAATATCCTTTTTTTTCTCCAGTTGCTTGTTATTTTTTTGCATTATTATTTCCCCCCCTTTTTTTTTTCATTTGTCTATTATTTTTCTTTGTTTTATTCTTCATTTTGAACATATATTTTGGCAAAATTAAGGTCTAAGCACTAGGCAGCTAATATTTTCCCTGAATCCTGAATTTAACCCTTTGCAAACGGCTGGCACAGCATATGTGCCGCTCAAAAAACTTGCCCTTACAATGGCGTTGGCGCAGCAGCTGTGCCCGCTGTTTCCTTTCCCAGAACTTGTTTGATCACCCATTATCCTGTCATTTCATCACACTCCTCTTTTAAAAGACCCTTTTGTTGGAAAAGGAGTTATCAGAGTCTTCTTTGACTTGGCTGAAAGATATTTAGGTTTTTTTTCTATTATTTGGTGAATTTTAAGTGCTTATAAACTCTTCATAGTCTTTATGATAGCTGTGCTATTTTTCATTACTTATTTTCATTTGAGATCTATTTCATAAAATTATTCAATATTTTATTTATTTTGTTTATTTTAGATTCGGAGTCTTTTCTTTGCATTATTATTCCCCTTTTGTGTTTAGAACACCATTTTAAATTATTTTTTAGTAAAAAAATTTTATTTTCTATAGCAAATATTTTATACAAAATTTCATACAAAAATATTTTATTTTGTAGCAAAATAATTTATAAAAAAATTTATAAAATAGTAACTAATTAAGTTTTTGTAGTTAAAATGAGAATAATTCAAAAATAAAAACGTATTTAGCTTCTCATAGCAAAAAAAGAAGAAAGAAAAACAGAAATTTCTTTTAATAAACTAAATTGCGCTTTTTCTGATCTAAAGGGAAAAAAGCTATTTTTGAAGAAATTATTATTAAAGAAAATTGATCCAAAACTAAATCTAACTCTCTTTTTCAAATACAGATTGTTTTTTAACTTGTTCAAAAAATAATTAGTGGATGAATTTAAAATCCTAGTATTATTATTGTCCCTTTTTAGTATATACCAGGAGGAAACTTGATTCATTTCTTTTTCTACCACTTATCTATTTTTAGGCCGAGAAATGATTCTTGAAAAAGTTAATCAAATTCATTTTAAATAACGATATATAAACTCAAACATAAACATGATTATGAGTTTATTTTATTAGAAGAACTGCGGAAAATTAAAGGAATTCCCAATAAAATAGAGTGAAAGAACAAGTATTAGTTCTTAATGGTGTATTGAAGGGGAACAGTTATATTTATAAATAACTAAAGATCAATGAATACTTAAAATGCTTGAATTATCTTTTTAAAAATTAACAATTCTCAGATTTTGTCAGGTATGATGTATTTTAAAATTATGCAGAATCCTTCGTGTTTCAAAATAAAAACGATAACGCACCAGACGAGACTTTGGAGGTCTGCAAAATTGACATATGAATGGAAAATTGAGCTCTATATAGATTTTTACTGCACAAGACCACCTTAAATGATAATGGTTGAAAAGTGAATAGAGTTTTTGTTGTAGATAAAAAAAAAGAGGTTCAATAAAAAGGATTGCAGTCTGAAGATAAAATCATTCAAACTGCGCCTATTNAAACTTCTATAAACTCTCAAATGATGTTGAAAAGTTAATTTCAAATAGTGCAACTCAAGCATCCATTGATCGGTTTTTTGCAAAAGTTTTATAAATTTAATTTTATGTAGGGTTTTACTTTATTAAAATAATTAAATTAGTTGAATAAAGCATTAATGTTGTCATTTTAAAGTCTATGCATTTAGAATATATCGTAAAAATGTGATTTTTTTTTTCAAATGTTGAATCGCCTCTTAATAAAATCAGCCGCTTAATAAAATCAAAAGAGCATAAAACGAAAGTGATTTTAATAAACGGCGGGCACATGTCAGTTTCTCTCTTGATTTTCGTATAGATTAAAATCTTTTAAGTTAAAAAACTACATGAAACTGAAAGCTATATAAAACATAGTTCTAAAGAAAAGCATCACGGAAATTTAAAAAAAATATTTTTGTTAAATAAAAAGAAAAAATATTAAGAAAAGGAAAAATATCGTAGTACATTTCTATACAATTGAAAAGAGGAGGGTCCCGCAGTGGACTGATCATTAAGACACGGTTCTCAGCAGATGACCAAAGTCAAGCATCACTGGCTGCGATCAGTGTGCGGGTGGGTGACCACTTGGATCAGTCTGCGTAGGGACCGAGGGTGTGCGGTATTGGTCCTCGTTAAACTGTTCTACCGTAAAGTGCTCGACTTCGTGTGCAGGTCGGGCTACCGAAGTGGGGGTGCCATCCCCTCTGCAGAGGATCAAATTTGTGATGGCATGTCTTCGGATCATCCTCAGGGATGTTTCCCAGACCATCGCCAATAGCCCATTGTGCAGCTCTAGTGCGACGTAAATGAACTACAACAACAACAAAGGAGGAGGAGAGGGAAGGGAGAAGGGCCAAAAGCATGAAACCGGTCTCTCCCCAGATGGCGTATTCGAGCGCTGCGATCGCCAATTATTTTTGTAAAAATAAATCCTTATTCTATACAGAAATAGAAAGTCAAAATCTATACAGATTAAAAAAAAAGACATTTTGGTTGAAAATTTAAATTACATATACCCATGAAGATCAGTTGATATCGTTGAATCTATGAGAAAAATGATAAAATAGCATGAAGAATATTCTTTTAAAGTTTTTAAAGATTTTCGTGTTTATTAAAGTTTTTTCGTGATATTAGATAAAGATCTACTACTATTTGTTTCAAAACAAAATGGAAGTGGAAAATTTCTACGGGTGTTATTTATTGTATTCTTTAAATGAAAAATATAAAGGAAGAACTTACATCGGTTTTACAGTGGATCCAAATCGCCGAATCCAACAACACAATAAAGGAATGAAAGCGGGTGGTGCTTTTAAAACAAATGATAAAGGACCATGGTACAGAGTTCATTAATTTTAGAAAGAAGTCTTATTAAAATAAGTTTGTTGTTGCGCACATAGTATTAATACCCTATTTTTGCTTGTCTGTTAGCTTACTATAAGAGTGTTGATGAACGAAATTTTTTTTTCACAGAAATAATTTTGGCATGATGGCAAGTGCCTGAGATTTACATTTGCCCTGCAAACCAAAATTTGTAAATGCAAATGTCATTGTGCATAGATAAATAAAATAGACAAATAACTAAATAAAAAATTAATTACACTAATTGATGCAAATTTTACATCTTTGTTAAACTCCATTTAAAATTATTTAACATAATAAATTTTTAGGTTGTAATGAGGCTATAGGAGGAATGTAGGCTATCAGAATAATAAAAAATTTAGTGATGCTTTTCTGTTTAGTTCTGAATATACTGTTCTGTATATTCAGATAATTTACTAGTTTATTTTTCATTTAAAAGAACAAAGCTGGCACCTATGAAAATAAAATTAATGAAGAAAAAAAAACAGTTGAATATACTTGCATCAGGTAACTTTGCATATCTCTTATTTACACATTCTTCACAGGTATAAGAGTGTTATAGAATTCCAATTGTGTAGTTATGAAAATGTAAATATGTGTATCATAACAGACATGACATTAATTTCTAGGCTGTTGTAATTCATTCATTAAAAATTTACTTCTAATTTGTTATAATTTTATCAGAATATAATTTTGACAACTTTACGAAACATAAAATATGACTAAGTAAAAAGCTTAGTTATTGAAATGAAATTCGTGTAATAACATTTTAGTGTTTATGATTTGCATAGCTGTATTTTTAGTTTTCCTTAATTTAATTTCCTTAAAATTCAATTATTTCTTAATTACGGCCCTGAAATATTATACTTCCTGTACTAGAAACTGTCTGTTAATGAGTATGACACAAAGAAAAATCATTTACTTTCTTAGAATTTTTAAAAAAATACTTTTCGAATGGACAGCAAATGGCACCCAAACATTAAAGTGACCCATAAACTGTAAGCCAATTTAATAATTTTTTCTCAGAGACCCAGAACCTTGTAGTGCATAGATTTCCTACTGATTTATATAGCATTTGTACAATGCATACAAAATAAGTTAATAATTTTTATGTTATAATTGGATTTTCAGGTACTAGGTCTCATTCTTAATGGTTTAAGGACCTAACCTTCAATATGCAAATTAAATTGTATTGATGATATTTGATGTTACAAAATCAGAATTGAAAATATTTTTTCTTTGACTAAAAATGCAACGTTTCAATAAAATTAAATTGTTGACTTGGAAATAAGGGGAGGGGGTAATCATAACCGGGAAAATTTTGTCCATAATATTAAATAGTACTCTTTGTGTGTTTTGCAATATCTTTCAAATTATTTATAGACGGTGTGCCTATAAAATTTTAACAGTTTTATTATATGTAATATTTTATTTGTAAGATTTTATTTGTAATGTTTTATTTGTATTGTTTTATATGTAATATTTAATCAATGCATTAATGCTAAAAAGTTTTTTTTCTTTTTTGTAAATTCTTGTTCAATAATTAAATTAAATTTTTATCAGGGACATGGTACTTGTAGTACATGGATTTCCTACTGATGTTTCTGCTCTTCGAGTAAGTTTTTATTTTGTTATGGTTATGACACATATTTCTTTCTGTATTTTAATTTCTCTTAAATATCACCCCTTTAAATTATGATATAAATGCTATTATTTTAGTCTCCAAGCATTTGACATCCAGATATATTGATATAATATTTTTTTAAGTAATATATCACGTGTCTCATTAATGACTATAGAAGGAGAAAAAAAGTTAAAGCCAAACATTCAAAGTCTCGATTTTTTACAGAATTGCAGTAACTAGCTTTACTTGTGACAAAGCAATGTTTTCTTTAAAACTTGTAATTACTTGCAGTCTTAATTACTTACTGAAATGTAATTTGTTAAATTATAATTTTAATAGATTATATTGCTTTCAAGTAATTTCAAAATGTAAGAATATTGAATTCTTAAAAATAGAAAAAGAAATAAACAATTATTAATGTGCACCGTTAAATCATACTAAAAGAATGCTCCATTTCCTAGCTTACTTATAAGGCTAACAGGCCATCAGGATTACAGTAATTATTTTTTTATTAATTAGAAATAAATAATAACTAAAAAGACAATCTCAAAAGAATTAAGCAGTTACTGATTTCTTAGGCTATTATTAAAAATAATTAAGTTAAATGACAATATATTTTAAGTATAAAATTTATTTACACAATAATTTATATTTTATGTGTTTTTGCACTCAAATTTTTTATTGAAATGTGTACAGCTTCATTTAAATGTGCTTTATTTTTTTACATATTGTTTTTTTTTATTTATTTATTAGATATTACAAAAAAATTAATTTATAATTATGCTCCTTTATCTTTGCAGTTTATACACTTACCTTTATACACTGCTTAACATGTTAAAAATAACTGATTTATGTAAAGTTGCAGTCTTGACAGCCAACCATTAACAGTAAAATCAAATGTAGAGGGCATGATAGAGCAATACCTGTTATCTCTATAAAATGCAGTGCACCAATCTATTCCTTTATTCAAAAATTCATTATGTTAGGTATTTGACCAAAATAGCACCATAGGTTGTTTCTGTAAGGAAAAAAGTATTTTATTAATTATTTCAAGATAGCTTATTTCTTTGAAATTCAATGTGGTGTTGCAATAATTAAGTGCAAAATATTAGCAAGATATCATTTGAGTTCTTACGATCCTGGACAAGCTGTTACACTACTGGAAGCAGGTCAAAATGTCACCATTGTGGCCTCAGTAATGGGAGTGTTATAGAGTTGTCATCTCGTGATTAAAGAAGACCGCTGAAGGTGGAAATGCTCTGCGATAGCATGTTGGCGGTCGTTATAGGTACATCGCACCACAAGAGGAACAGTATGTATTCCCAGCAGTTAAAGGAAACTGAAATGTTACTCCCAAGCAGATAGCTGCAGACCTTGCAACTACTAGCGGTACACATGTTTCTGCCAGAATCATCTTACGGCTATAAAATCTAATTGGTTTGCATGCATGGAAAATTGTTCGATGCATCCCACTTTAACCAAGCCATCGTTGAGAAAGATTACATTGATGTAAGGAACATATTAGGTGGGGTAACCAGCAATGGTTCAGGGTGATGTTCTCCAAAGAATCTCAATTTACTATGACAAGTGATTCTGGCTACCAGTTAGTGTGGAGAAATAGAAGAACATGTTCACAACAATAGGTTCATAGACGTGATCGGTGTGGCTCAGGTGTGCATGTACGAGCAAGTATCATGCATATTGTCTGAATACTGCTTTGCATCTTTGAGCGAGTTTGTGTAACATGGCAGTGGTTTTGCAAAGAGATTATTCTGGATCATGTTTGTTTTTTCAGGGATGTAGTAGATCCGGACTTTCTGTTATGATACGTGGCCACACAGGTCCACTAGAAAGTAAAGATATTTTATGTATGCCGTGGCCTGTGTACTCCTCAGACTTAAATTCTATAGAGTATGCCTAGGAGGTTCTTTGTAGATGTGTTTCACAAAGAACGCATCCTTTCTAAACCGTACGAGAGCTGAAAACCACCTTGAGAGAGAAGTGGGGCAATATCTCCCAAGGACTCTCCAATAGTTTACTGGACAGCATCAATAACAGATGCAAAATGTGCAGTAGTGTCCAAGGTTATCACACATCTTATTGGGATACTAATTTTTGTAACATTCTGGCAAAAAGAGCCATTTTTCATGGCTTTTAGGAAATCCTCCATTGAGCATCTTTTTATTCTTAATTTTATTGTTTTTCGATATATCAATATCTGAACTATTTTGCAAAATAATAAATGCACATTGTCCCTACTAAATATGTATTTAGTTTCATTTCATCAATCAATGTCTATTATTAATTATTCTGAAAAATGTAAACTGTTCCTCAGCAATTGTCAAGCAGTTTATTCGTAAAAATGAAACTAATATATTGCTTTATAGTAAGACACTTAAAGTTTAACAAGATTCATTTTCCTTGTTCTTGGATGTAATTTTTTGCTACTAATTTCAATATGTTGTAACAAATAATTCGAATTTACTTCTTAATAAAAATGAACTTGTTGATCAGAATTAAATGCATCATATTCAGAAATTTCATTTGTCAGAATCAGTATTTAGCATATGAGGGTTGTTTCTTGAACTGCGATTGCTTGGCATTTTAAGCTATTTTGTGTTAGTGATTGTTAAAATGTAGGCTGCTAAAATATCCTGTATAATTAATATTAATTTATTTTCGCAGTTTGAATGGGCTTGGCAAAACCCTGATAAATCCAGAAGATTGAAGCATGTAGCTAAGAAAGTCCCTCGAGAAAGTGCTCTGAAATATAGATTTCGTGTTATGTCTGAAATGTTAAGAGTTGGTCCCTGGAACAGATTACCTTTGGCTGTGCAGTGGCTGGATATAAACTACAAGCAAGAATTTGATGTAAGTTTTATCTTTTGAATTTGAAAAAATTTATAAATAAACGGTGACCTTCCTGGAATTATTAACAATAAAGGCAGTAGGGGTGTACAGTCTGCTGACAGTTGATGTGCAGCCAGTGTGAGTAAGAAGCAGAATTCAGTTTGACCAGCCATTGCTGTAATTCAAGTGTGAATCATCTCTTTGGAAAGTGAGTTAATTCCACCATTTCACCCCTGCTCTCTATTGCTTACCAACCTTTGTATTATTGGTCCTAAAAACAGCTTGAACATTTCATTTCTAAATGCATGAGATCACTTTGTCTTTTTGCCATACCTTAATGTCTTTTTATATGTCATTTTAATAAGATACTTGCTAAGCTTCTGTACTACTGGCACGGTACTTTCCAGATCCCTGCGCTTACCCATTTCACTTCTAAAACCCCTGTTGATGAAGTGGCAAAAAATCAAGATATTTGAGAAGTTTGATTTTTGTTCAAAAAAAACTTGACAATTTAATTACTCTAAAATTAATTAGAAATTGAAATATGTATGGAATTGTAAGATGTATTTTTCATCTGCAGACGTAAGGGTGCGAGGCTACCAAAGATCATAGTTCTACAGCTAATAGTTTTGTCTAATTAAAGAAAGTGGGGGGAATGTGTACCATATTTAATAAAAAGTCATATTCTTAAGTATAAATGGAACACAAATACGAATTACTTTTTTCAATTATATTGATTGAAGTGCTGAAACTATATTCATTGCAGAACCTTCTCAGTTTTATTGAAGTTGCATGTTGTTGTTTTTTTTTTTTCTTCAGAAATTAATCATGTATGATTATTTTCCAACTTCATAGAAAAAATTTATACGATTGCTTTGTATATTAATGATTATCTTCTTTTTTTAAGGTTTCTAAATTACCTCCATTACACATACCAATATGCATTGGTCCAATTCAGCCACGAAAAGTAAAAAAGACAGGCACTGAGTGCGAAACTGATGAAGACGTGAATTTGAAATTTTGTTACATCTGTGATAATATTGTAACTAAAGATGATAAACAGTTTATATGCTTTAATTCTAATTGCTTGCAGATATTTCACATTCTTTGTTTAGGACGGAATTTTCAGTCTTGTACAAAAGAAAAATTCCTCCTTCCCGTTGAAGGTTTGTGTCCTAATTGTAAGACATCAACTTTATGGGGTGATGTAGTGAGGTATTCATCAGGATGTTATCGTGATACTAATTCTGCATCTTAAGTTACATAAATTGTACTGTGCAAGTAAGTAGTTTACTTAATCATTAAAATTGTTTTACTGGTGTATAGATTTGTTTATTTTTCTTGCACTCCCTAATGTGCATTTATTTTGACTGACATGCTGAAATTAATCTGATTAATCTAGCAACTAAGTCATGAAGTATCAAAAGTGACTAAAGGTTAAGCACAAATTTTCCATTAAGCTGTTCTTTATATAGATACATACAAAATGGCAGGCTTTGAGTTTTTCTAAAACCATTTAGTATTTTGAAACTTAAGTGTCAGTGCAACTATTTAGTTTATATAAATATGCAATTTACTCTTTAAAGGGTAATTTGTTTTGACAATTTTTCTGTTCATTAGAAAAGTTAATTTAACAAATTTCACTGAATTAATATTGCTCTAATTAACTCTTAATAAGGTTTACTTGGATATAAATTATAAGATAAAGTCTCAAAAATTTAACATATTTCTGAATGTTAATATTGTGTACATGCAGTAGGCTAACTAGAAAATCTGGCTCTTTGCAAATTGCCTACTTTATTTCTGAGGCTTATTGTAGTGAGACTTGTAGGTGTTTTACAAAGTAACTTTGAGTTTGCTAAGTGTTAAATTTCCAATTAATCTTTAAAAGTTCAGTTTTTTTAAATAGTTTAAAATTGGTAATACATCTTGTAATAACGTTGATATTTGTATTTTGCATAGTTTTTTTCATCAAATTTTTCTGTGTAGCAATACAAAAAAAACTGTGATATATTATTTTTTATATGTTAAATTTTATTTTTAATTACATGTAAGTGAATGGTATATCCATATTATGCGCATGTTTATAATATTATATTTTGAAGAAACTTTTTATTTTATTGCAAATTTAACATGCTTTTATTATGAGAGCTTTTGGTCCTTGGCTGATTAGTGTGATAAAAAAATATTTTTATCTAGAAAGGTCTGTGACGGATAACAGCCCACAAAATACACTAAAAACAGCTAGTAATATGAAGTGATATGAATATGTATAAAGGATTTGTGCCATTTTATGATTTATCATGGTTCCAACCCATTTATGTTTAGTTACTTTTTAAAAGGACAATTATTCTATTCATAGTTAGATAATACAGACGCATGCTGTGCGCGAATATATTAGTGATGATTCTCAATTTTGCAGATACTTTTTTTTAAAAAAAATATTTATTGTGATATAAAAAAAAGTATCTGCCCTCGCAAAAAAAAAATTTATAGTGGGGGGAGAAAGAAAATGCAAAGCAGATTGAATAATCATGATTTAAAAAAGAAAGTCAGTGTTTAGTTGTATGTTTGCTGCTCCCAAAGAGAAAAGATATAACTGCCACTTTAGCCCAAAGATTAACAATCCCATCGTTGATGGTTGAGCTTACAATCAGCTGATTTTTTACAACTAAAATAAACGATTGCGATGACAGTAGGAAATCTTTTAATGTAATTTCGTTTAGAGCGAAATTACTAACATTACTTAATTTGATAATTACTTCATATGAATGTATTAATAATTTCCATGTATAACTCTAATGTTCAATAACATGCATGTGATGTGCATATTTTTTTGCCAAGAATAAATAAAATTATTTAAACGGTTTTCATATATTTAATAAAACTATTCAATTATCAAAAATATTATGAACTTGCAGATACTTTTGGATTGTGTGTGCAGATACTTAATGTTTTTATCTTACTATGATTTTATTTTACAAAAATTGTAGCACAAATGTTTCAACATTGGGATTTGTTTTGAAGAAAGAATTATAGTTCAGCGTAATAATGTATTAATAGTACAGGTACTTATACTTTGATCTGAAATCAATATGCAGTGCTTTTTCAAATCTTAAATGGTAAGTAACAAAAATAAAAATCCACTTAGTATAAGCAAATAAACCAGTTTTTCAATCTAGAAATTTTTCATGTATAAACCCCTTTTGGTGACTACAAGATAATTGGTTAAGTTCTGTTTCCCTTTTTCAATATGTATCAACCATAATCACTGAACTTAAGGTCATGTAACATTATTTTAGGAATTAGAAATAGAAACTACAATTATAATATAGTGGAAATAAATGCCTAAAAATTTTTTATCACACTAAATTAATGTTTGTTGAAATCCAAGGGTCCAAATCTCTGTTTATAAAAGTTTTTTTAAAAAAAACCTAAATGGTTTCAATATTTTCTGCTAAGTATAGATTTCATTTTACCATGACTGTGAAAAATGAAATGAATTATGGATCACATATTATAAAAGAGGTGTGTCTGTGTGTTCTATCTACATAGACCTCAGGCATAAAACTCAAATACATGTTATATACTGTTTAACATGACACAACATTTTAAAAAGAAAAAGTTGTCAAGTGTAACATAGAAACTGTTTGTAAGTTTTATCAATTTTATTTATTTAATTCATTTGGAAATCTATGAAAAATTCATAACCAAACCTTTTTTTTTTGTAATTAATCTGAAAGGAGCTAGATAGAGGAAATGTGTAAAGCTTCGCTTAAATGCATAAAGCTTGGCTTAGAATGAATAAAATCATAAAAAAATAGAGAACAATGTTTATCATCTACAATCAAATTTAATGTACATTAGTTTAATATAATGGATGAGCTTGCTGCTCATTACAAAACTTTTCCAATTGTAGAATAGAATAAAGTTGAATATAGCTATTTACTTTTCTTCCTATTTTTTGTATTTAATTTAAAACGAATCTTTTGCAAATAGAAGCTATAAAATCTCCTTTTATCTATAAACCAAATATCTTCAGCGAATGATACTGCATCACCTCTCATATTTAGAATCATATTGCATCACCTCCTATATTTCCAATGAGTACCTTCACATGTTGTTGTTGGAAAAAATGAGGTAGCTGATGCCCAAGTTAAAGAAGGAACTAGAATAGTTTAAATTTCTGCCGTACTCACTTTTTTAGAAATCTGTTCCAAAGAAAAATCTGCTGTTGCCTTTTCCTGGGGACTGCACTGTTAAGACCATCAAGTGGGTACTTAAAGTGCCTTAGATTTAACCAAAGTAAAAAGATATTCCCCATCTGTGGAAAATGGAATACCTTGAATACGATTATCTCCTTTTCTGCATGGGATTTGCACCCCCCTCTTGTATATGGGCATGAGCCCGTATACAAGAGGGGGGTGTCATAGAGCAGGCCAACCTAGACCAGTTAGAATAGGCAATGATTGCTCTTTAAAACAGCATGTATGAAATAAAAAAAGAAATGAAACCTTTTACAGCTTTTTCACTTAATACTGGCTCAATATTAGACTTAAATTAATGCAGGGGTGATTGTGACACAAAGTGAAATACCCTGAAAATTTTATGTCCAAAAAATCGATAACAAGATATCAATCTATATACTATTCATATATAATTTCTTTGAATTAAGAGTTATAATTAAATGCACTACCAATGTAGAATATCACATTGTAGTAACTAATTTAAGAAAAAAACTTCGTTCTTACAAGAATCGTGACGTTGGATTTTAAAAACGCCAAAATACAAATCGCAATATTGGATTTAAAAAAGCAAAAATATAAATCGCAATATTGGATTTAAGAAAGCGAAAATATAAATCGCAATATTAGATTTTTGAATCGTGTAAATACGAATTGTGATATTTATTTTAAAAACATAAATACAAATTGCAATATTGGACTTTTAAATCACATGAATACGAATCGAGATTGCGATTTTTTAATCGCGTGAATATGATTCACAATGAGTAACTTTTGAATCGGGTAAATAAGAAAATCTATGTTTGATACTAAAATCGTAATATTAGCGGATTACGGTATAGTTTCAAATATTAAAAACGATAAAAATCCAACAAACCAAAAAACTAACATATTTTAGCAAAGGTTTCAAAATTTTAATTTTTGAATATAGAACTTAATTCTTACTTCAAATTTTAGATTGCAGTGAAAATTTCATCGGATTATAAGTTTTGTTTCGCGGAAGTCTGCGAATCAGTGGTCTTGAAATATGCAGATTTCTGCAAAACAAATCATATGCCCTGTTTCTAGGCTTGGAGGAATGATCCGAAATTCCGGGGTACACACCCGGAATACAATGACTCTTGTTAATATTAGACTAAAATTTAATATTGGACTGGTTGATTTAGGATTATTGAAATAATTGACACCTTGGGACACCCTTGAGTGCCATAGCACACACTAAGGGTGTCCTTGTTTTCGACAAAATTTCTAGATTTAAAAAAAATTAAATATTTTGATTTATTATTCAAAATTAAGGAAATTAATGTGACTATATATAATAAACAACAAAAACACTATATGCAATGCAAATTTAATATTTAAAAAAAGATTGTTACAAAATGTTACAATAAATCGGTCTATTTTAACGATAGTAATTTAGAAAAAGTTTTTAATATGACAATTAAAACTTTTACATGGTAATTAACATGGTTAAAACTCTCAAAAACTTATCAATCCTCAGATAACTAAATTAAAGAACTTTATCAAGGAGTACAGAAAAGGAGAAAAAAAAGTTTGGTCTTGCTATTCAAGAAAAAGCTAATGGATCATTGCTATTAAGAATGAATATTAAATAAACTCTTTCACCACCAATATATGAAATGATTTTATAATTTTTATTTTGCAGAATTATGAGAATTCGATATTGGGTTGCGGAAAAAATATTTTGCCGTTTGTCATATTATATTCATGAAACATAAAAAACATCATTAGGAGAACATGGAGTTTTAGTTTTTTCATGTTTATCAATATCTCTATAACTAGCTGTTTTAATATAACATAGAATGATTTATTTAAAAATTATTAATACACCAAATTAGAAAAAAGTTAACTGAGGTAACACAATAAAAATTTTATTATTTATTAAAATGAAACACCTTAATTGAAGTAAAAATATTTTTATAAATTTTCAAATTAACTATAAATTTTCTATTTATGTTCATCATTAAGTTTTGTTCATCTGTACCTTAATTGTGAACAAGTTAAATCTTTTTTCTTTTTAATTTTGAATAGGTAACTATTATTGAACTTATTTTAAATGGATTTACTTTTATAAGATATTTACACCAGCTTGCAATAACAAGGGTAGAAAAATGCCTTGAAATCGATAAGTTGTGTAAAACAAGAAATATAACACTAACGAAAAATATCTATCACCAAGCAATTATAATTGAAACATGACAAAATTAACTCATGTCATGTAAGATGTTTATTTTTAATTTCATATCCAGGGCTCGAAATTAACGGTGGTCCGTTGGTCCGTGACCACTAAAATCGGAGTCCGACCAGCATAAAATAATAAACAGTGGTCCGCCGGACCACCATCCGCCGCAGCCGATCTCCGCTAATCTATTCTCGATCTTATGAAACTTAAACGATCTTACTTAAAACTATTTTAGAGCTTATTCACAATTTTTTTTTAAAAATTTTTTATACAAAATTAATATTAATCAAAAAAATGCGATTTAAATCAAAAATTTATGATTTTAAAAAAAAAATCATGATTTTTTCAATCAAAAATGATAATTTTTTTTTATTTATTTGCAGCTAATAGGAACGCGTAGACGGACCAGTGAAGTTTTGTGCGGACTAGTAAAATGTTTTAGTTACTGGTCCNTTTATATAAATGTTTGTAATAAATAAGAGAAAGTTATATTTTTATTTATTTAGAAGCTACGGGTTAGTTTCAAAGGAGGACGGACACATTGTTGGACAAGCCGTCCTCTGGGACGGGTAAAATTTCTAAGTTTTTTCGAGCCCTGATTTCTAGATTAAAAAAAATTAATTATTTGGATTTATTATTCAAAATTAGGGAAATTAATGTGACTATATATAATTAACAACAAAAACACTATATGCAATACAAATTTAATATTTAAAAAAAGATTGTTAAAAAATTTTACAATAAGTCGGTCTTTTTGAACGATAGGAATTTAGAAAAGGTTTTTAATATGACAATTTATTCATGGTTAAAACTCTCAAAAACTTGTCAACCCTCAGATAACTAAATTAAAGAATTTTATCAAGGAGTACAGAAAAGAAGGGGGGGGGGGAATTTGGTCTTGCTATTCAAGAGAAAGCTAATGGATCATTGCTATTAAGAATGAATATTAAATAAACTCTTTCACCACCAATATATGAAAAGTTTTTATAATTTTTATTTTGCAGAATTAGGAAGATTTGATATTGGTTTGGGGGAAAAATATTTTGCCGTTTGTCATATTATATTCGTGAAACATAAAAAACATCATTAGGAGAATATGGAGTTTTAGTTTTCCTCTTATTTTTGAATATCTCTATAACTAGCTGTTTTAATGTAACATAGAATGATTTATTTAAAAATTATTAATACACCAAATTAGGAAAAAGTTAACTTAGGTAAAACAATACAAATTTTATTATTTATTAAAGTAAAACACCTTAATTGAAATAAAAATATTTTTATAAATTTTCTATTTATGTTCATCATTAAGTTTTGTTCATCTGTACTTTAATTGTAAGCAAGTTAAATAATTTTTTAAAAAAAATTTTGAATAGTAACTATAATTGAACTTATTTTAAATGGATTTACTTTTATTAGATATTTACCCCAGCTTGCAATAATAAGGGTAGAAAATTGCCTTGAAACCGATAAGTTGAGTACAACAAGAAATATAACACTAACAAAAAATATCTATCACCAAGCATATATATATTCTAGATATTTATTCTAGGTTTATCACTTATCACCAAGATTATATATTCTAGATTTTTATTAACTTTATTTTACTTGCATTAATATATGTTATAAGAGTATTGAAATCAAGCATATGCATTTATTTAGTTTTAATTGGAGAAACAAGAATTAAATTTTATAAACACTTAGCATAATTATAAAACCCAAATATTTTGCACATAGATTGTCACTATTATAGATGAACTTCATTTATGAAAACACTGATTTTTTTTTAATGCAATGCCTAATAGTAAAACCATCCACCCTTTATCGAAATGTATACTATTTCTATCCAATCTGCAATTGATCTTGATTAAGTAATTACGCTGTAATTGAGCATGTTACTTTAACATAAAAATAAGTTTCTATGAACTTCAGTACTACTCATTTTAACCGAAAATAAATGTTGATTCGCTGTGAAGAGCTACGTAATCATTTCTTCAGTTATTTTAGGGATAAATAAACAATTTGAAGCTGTAAAAATATTTTTTCCATTTCCCCACACTCTCAAGCCGTAAATTTAATTATCAAAAATTTTACTAATAATATACGAAGGATATTTATACGATATAACTGATATTAAAACTAACTTCAACTCATCTTCACTCAAACTTCAACTTTTGATATTGGAAGTCTTTTGGGGCAATTTTAATGCTTAATTTAATAAATACACATTTGGAGAAAAAACAATCAGTAAAAATATACTTGAGGGTACCCCTTGGCGACATATGTTTGGTTCCATTCCTATTTGTGCGGAACACCATAGTAACAGGAATGGCAGCCAAAACATGATATTTCAATAAAACATTGGAAAATTTCAACAAAACTTTTAGAAAATTGCAATGAACCCAATATAAGCAAAATTAATAAACCCAATAAAATGTAGTCATTTTTAGAACCAGAAGCAAAAATGACCTTACCAGCCGGTATCCTACTTAGAACTAACGGACATCTGAAATCACATATACCGTTGAACATTTAAAAATAGCGGTATAATCTAAACCAATCCGAATCACGATTGTTTCAACATCACTCAGCTTGGCGATCAACTGCGATCACAACTTGGCGAGAATCAAGGGGCACCCTCAAATATAGTCTACCCAGGAGAGAATTTTCAAAAGTTAGAATTAAAATTTTAAAAAATTAAGAGATGTTGTAATTTTCCATTGCTTTATTTTACATGTTTTAACTACATATAAAGGGATTTCTGAGTTTAATAAATGTATCCAGATAAAGTTAAAAATGAACAGTTAAACTACTTTATTAGAATATTTAAAAAAAATTTTAATTTTATTCAAATCCTCGTTTTCTGCATATATTTACATCATCACACACAGGACTGATATAACAAACTAATTATCTGAGTCAACTTCACTATCGCTTTTATTCACCTGTTCAGAACTTTCTTCGTTTTTCCGCTGGCAAACAGATTTTAATCCTATTTCACACCTGTAAAACACATTCGTTGAATCGCTGCTTTGAATTGATAAAGCTACACTTGATTGTCCAGAATCAGCGATGACAGTCTTTAGTCCATCAAAATCTAGCGCTTTATAAGCATTTGTAACATAAATTGTTTCAGTTCTAAGGCTGTCCTTTTTCTTGCCAATTAAATACGGTTTGTTTTTGATTTCGTCATACCTTAATTCACACCATGAAGGGCGAAGAAGTTTCAGAGCCTTTTTAGCCAGTGATTTTTCTTTCTCCAATTCATTCATTATTGGTAGCATTTATTCCGTTGAACTAGATAAATTTTAAAAAAAAACAATATTTTAGACTTGCGATTATTTTGGACTGGAATCGTTTCAAAAACAAATGAGATAAACATCCGGTTGATCATTTCTGCAACAATATTCAACAACACAATTTGCAGTTACAGTTTATCTGTTTCTGTTGTAATGAAAAATATTCATGTGGACGTTGCGTATTAGACGCGACTAATAATTAAATAGATAAATCTTATTGGCTAAATGATATGAGCCAGAAATAACGATGAGGATAACAGCCAATCAAATAAGCGTATTCGACTAAAAATTCTGTTAGCCAAGCAGCTTTTTAGTCGTTTCACTAAAAAGAGACTTTCAATTGTTTAGTTCTACTAAAACCGAAACTGAAAGTTTTTCTGGCAATGTTGTCATTCAGAGGCTAAATTGTGCTACGAAGTAAATAATGGCGTTGATGATGAGGAACATATTTATAAAACCGTTTTGTAAATTTTTGGTGCTAATTATTTTTAACTTTCAAAGCAGTCCAAATATTGGTGCAAACGCTTCTCCAGCATTTAATGTTATCACATCGAATTCATCACATTACCGTCATTATGAGGAACTGAAGGAAAATCTGCTGAAATTAGAAAAAGATTATAAAACTTTAACTAGTGTTTATTCCATAGGTCAAAGTGTAGAGAAACGGGAACTATATGTTATACGAATAACATCAAATGTAACAATTAACAAACCTATGTTTAAATATGTGGCTAACATACACGGCAACGAAGCAGTTGGTAGAGAACTACTTTTAAACTTAGCTCAATATTTGCTTGAAAACTACGGAAAGGACGAAAGAGTAACAAAGATAGTTGATTCAATTGATATACATTTATTACCATCAGCTAATCCCGATGGCTTTGAGTTTGCTCGTGAAGGTGATTGTTTTGGTTCCTCCAAACCAACTGGAAGAGAAAATGCGAATGGAATTGATTTAAATCGAGATTTTCCGGACCAGTTTTCTTTGGATGAAACAACCAGAATGACTGCTGGTCGTCAGCCGGAAACAGTTAATTTAATGACTTGGATTGTTTCCAATCCGTTTGTGCTTTCTGCTAATTTACACGGAGGTGCATTGGTTGCAAACTATCCTTTTGATGATTCTAAGTATCATAAAATTTTTGGTGTAAAAAGCCCCTCACCAGATGACAAATTATTCATGAAGTTAGCTAAAACTTATTCAAATTCACATGCATTTATGAAAGAGGGACATATTTGCCCTGATGATGATTTTCCAGGAGGAATTACTAATGGTGCAGAGTGGTATGATGTTGCTGGTATGTTCAGTGCTTAAAAAATAGTAGTAAAATGTAGTATTCAAAAAATTAAGTTGTTTTTCTTGGGGAGATTTCCATATCATGATCTGTGCCAGAATAATCATCAAGTCTTAGCAACTTTCGGGCAGCGACCCGCAGGAAATTAAAAATAAAATTTCGCAGAAAGGGACCCATTTGAAAGGTATACTTCATAGCTACCTCCAGGCAAACATCTGCATGTTTTTTATTTTATTTTTTAAATGTGCAAGTTTGAAATCTATGTAGCACTTTAGTGATTGAAGTTGGCGCGACAGATCACGATCTGGAAATATCCCTTTTGTCTTATAAATAGTAGGTATAGCAACAAGGGCAAAACTGTATCTAATGGAAAGATTTCTGAATTTGTATCAAAGCCAAAATTAAAGTTAAGCTTGGGGACTTCTGGGTAGTGACTTGCTAGAAACTGAAAAGAAAAATCATTACAGAAAAGAATCAACTCGAAAGTTATAACTCAAAGCCAACCCTAGTGAACCACAACATATTTTTGAAAAATTTTAGTAACCTTTTGGTGCCTTGCGAAAGGTAGTAACAAACAGATATCAATAGGGGAATATTTCCTATATTATATCAGGGATCTATCCAGGCCGAATTTATTACCGTTTAGCGGTACCTTCACAAATTCAACATTAGGAAAAACAGTAGTTTCCCAAAATACTTTTTCTTAAAATTTTATTTTCGTATCCCTTAAGAAACAATAAGTCCATATTTTTGTGTTGATTTTTGATATAATTTTTAATTTTTCACAAATTATATTTAAATTTTCACAAAATAGGCACCTCTCAGAAAAACCTAGACAGACCCCTGAATATTCTACGACAAGACTTTTAATAACTTTTCATGCAGATATTGTTACATTTAAACTCTAAATTATTTAAATTACTATAATGTAATTTTTAAGTGATAGAGATTCCATCAGTGTCTGTCTATATCTTCTATAATTGCTAATGTACCAAATGGTTTTTGTACTTACAAGAATTTAAAACGAAAATGCTTCGTGGTTTCCAGAATAGCTACAAGACGTACTTTTTGAATTTGTTTCTTTTTGTGAATTTTTTTTTAGTTGTCTAAAATTGCCTAGTTGTTTCCAAAATTTGGTGATAATAAAATTTTCATTGCAACTTGGATTTATTGTTCTGCAAGGGGCTTCATACTTTTAAGCACATTTTTTTGAAAGTATAGGTAATGTAGCCTGTATTAGGTGATCATTATAAATTAGGTAGCCATTCTTTTACTGTCTGTATGTTAATTTCTTGACAGGCAAGTTTAGATGTCCCATTAATCAGTGCACCATGGATGACCCAACTATATTTTTACCCAATACTTTCAATTGTTAGAATTAGGGTCTAGTTCATTTCATCGAAATCACTTTATCAAGAGGTCATTTCATTGGCCAGGTCATTTTGTTGATAGTGTCGTTTTATTAACAGGCCCTATTGTCAACATATTAATTTTGTTGTCAGGGCTGATATATCGACAGAGTAATTTTGTCAATGCTCTATTTCGTTGGCAAAATTGCCATTTCATCAACATGGTGGTTTCGTTGACAAGTTAATTTCGTCGTCAGGGTCATTTTTGTCAACAGGTTAGTTTTATCAACAAAGTCATTTTGTAGGCAGAATTGTTTCTTTGACAAGATCTTTTCATTAATAGGGTCATTTCCTTTTTCCCCAAATTTCCTTTTATTTATTTCCCTTTTTTATTATAGATAATAAATCATGACTTTTATCTCATTATGAGGACATAATTTTATATCTATCTTTTTTAACAATCATTCATTGTTACCGGGCTACACTGAAGGCTAATGATATTGCGATACATTTAATATGCTGCACTTGTTACATTGCATCTTACAGTGTTTTCATCTCAGAAAAAAAAATGGGTGAGAATTTCTCACCCTTTCTCAAAAACAGGGTGAGATTTCAAAGATTAAAAAAAAAGAAAAACACCAAGAGACTTAGGGGAAAAAATCATTTATTTAATTATAATGCATTTTTAACATCTTCTAATTTTTAAAGCCTTGAATATTTTTACTGCATATGGAAAATATTCTACATCTACTTTTTCATCAGCTATTCTCATTAGGTTGCTCAAATGCGTATTTGTTTGGTTTTGATCGTTTCTACCCACATTTGTCCGTTTAGGAGTAGAAGATATTGGCTTTACAAGGCATTTGTCCATCTTACATTAACGAGCAAAAAATTTGAACATCTTACATGAAGAAACCTTACCTACGGTAAACACCTGGTTGCAGAGAAATGCGTTCTGAAAGAGGTTCCGTAATTCGGAAGGATGGTGCTCTGTTGTTCTTAAAGGTTCTGAACAATACTGGTAAATAGGGAAGCTAGATAATGGGCCAAATGTTGAAAATAATAAAAGATCCAGGAAGAAAAGTGAAACGAATTTTATTCTAAATGGCGCAAATGAGAAATTTTTTTCAAAATGCGAGAAATTCGCGAATTTTGAAATTGGTTTATAGAATGTGCGAATTTCTCGCAGTAATCATTTTTTAATGCGAGAATATTAAAAAATATGCGAGATTCTCGCGTTCTCGCGCTGTAGTGAAAACACTGA